TGAGCAAGCTTTGTCTTGAAGACCAGTTCGCCTGACGACTTGCGAACGCGGCCGTGAAGAGGAACGTGTCGGTGATCTCCTGGACAACGACGAGCGAGCTGAAGCAATGCTGCGTGACTGGCAAGCAGTCGCGTAGGTTTGCGATGGCAGGAGCCGAACTGGCACTGATCAAAGTCCACGTTATAGAGATGAAGTCGAACTTTGAGCTGTTGCATCTGGGGGACCTGCCAAAGGATGCTGCTCAAAGGGTTCTCGAGCGATGCGTCCCCGCCGGCAAGAACCACAGCCTCGAACAGCGAAATGGAACGGCAGACCAGTTCATTGGTTTCGAAGAGTTTGAGTTGCTGAGCCTTGTCGAGAACGTTGAGTCCGAGCGGAAGCTCCTTCGATCGCAATGGCATCGGACCATGAGGGCGATCGCGAGCAATGCTGAAAGTAGAGCACGGCGTTCCCAGGTGCAAGAAACAAATTGCTCCCATGCGGCACAACAAGAGCAGCCAAGCGAAGAACTCCGCGTCAAGTAGATCGAGTGCTTCAGGCACCTGCTCCGATTGCACGACGTCAATCGGTGGGAGCGTCTTGAGACCATACTGCCGCCATTGAGCTGTGAGGTGAGCTGAACCTGCGAAGACCTCGAGGCACCACGGGCCGAGCTCACGAACAACATCTGGGTCACGAGGGATCTGTGACCATCGTGTCCAAGGCGGAGGTTGCATGAGCGCAGCAGCTGTCGGCTTCAGAGCAGAAGCGTCATTGGCTGATGCATTCTGAGCAACCGCCGAAGGGACTGAGAAGTCCCCTGGAGGTCTTTCGAGCGCCTTTGCCGGGAAGAGCAGACCGAACTCGCCCGGCGGCGGATCCAACACTCAGTGATTTCCATGGAAGGGTGATCACCCCCGCACTGAACGCACACATGCTTATTCTTGCACTGATCACCAAAGCGACAGCCGAGCGAACAGTTGAACCACGGACATCTGCGAGCGCCGGTGTCGGAGAAAGATGATCTTCTTCCACTCCTTCTCGGGCACCCTGGCATCACGCTCCACCTTTTCCTTCTGAACGAGCTTGGGTGGAGGCTTGTCGCGAACAGCAGGATCACGATGACGATCGCGATCAGCACGCGCCTGCTTGAGCAAAGCCTTCTCGCACTGGCGTCGAGCTTATTCTTCCTGGCCTTGGCCTCGTTCTTGACGGGTGTGGAGGGCGGCGATCGCGAGCGCGGCCGCTTCAGAGCTGCTTGTGGTTCTTGAGAATCTCGGTGCGCGCGAGAACGTGGAAAGTCCTTGCGCTTGTCATTGTTGAGCTTGTAGACCTTTTTCCTGTTTTGGAAGTTGGCTGCAAGGAGCACAGCCAACCCACGATTCTCATGTCGCCATTCCTCGAGCTCCGAAAGGCAGTTGAGGGAACCAGATCCAAAAGTGAACTCGCAGATGTTGAGGTACTCGAGAGCGACAAAGAACGAGTGGAGACGGTCCATGACTTCGACTCAGACGCGATCGCCACTTTGTTGTGAACTGAACCACCTTGAGCAGGTCCTCTGACGTCTTGGAGAAAGCGGGAGTCTGTACCAAGCGATCTGCTCGAAACCGCAGCGACCTCGTAGAAGGCGTTAAAAACCTAGGAAGCTCTAGG